ATATATATATATTTATACATTTTACTGGTTTTGGTTCTCTAGAGAACCCAGCCTAAGACAGCTACCTTCCAAAGCAAGTCTTCAACTGTGATGAAATAACTATTTACACAGCATTTACACTGTTGTATTAGGTATTATAAGTAATCTAGAGAAGACAGAAAGTATATGGGAGGATGTGCGTAGGTTATATGCAAATATTACGTCATTTTATATAAGCGACTTGAGCATCCATGGATTTCTGAGGGGTGTCCTGCAACGAATCCCTCGCAGATACCGAGTGAGGACTGTAGTAATTAGCTTTTTCTGTAGATTCTTCAACAGTTCCTGATCTTTAACTCCTGCATTCCAGACAGGCAGACACCTGGTTATCCGCCTCCACTCAGCAGGCATGGACCACTCACTGAAAAACCACATTTGTCTTCTTAAGCAAACTAACATTTCAGAGAAGAAAGGATTTCAAAGGACATTAATGAACCTCTGAAAAACCAGCTAAAACCGTCCAGACTTCTCCGACACCCTTTCCTGATGCTGCCACGTTTCTTTGGAACATGTGATTTTAGGCCGTGTGTTCCCCAATCCATGAATTGATGACTGAATAATAAATCTTTAGTATTGTTTTTAACTTTGTTTCCATTCTCAGAAATTCTTTTACACTCGTTACCCTAAAGAATGCTTTTTAAAAGTTCAAATTTTTTCTACTTCCTGTATATGGTAATCATGATGGTTATATTCTTCCTCTTCCAATATATTATAGCCAAAAAATGACTGAAGTGCCTAGGGCAGATCCACATAGCCACCTGTAGTATTTCAGGAGGGCAAGCACGTTGGATTTTAAGACTCACAGGTTTTAGTACTTGTTCCTATAAATATTAGTTCTCATGTATGATATTTCTAACCCTCAAGGCACCCTCAAAAGAAACCCGAACTTTAGGCTTGAATCTGTTGCTAACTAGCAGTTCACCTTGGACAGGTAACAATTTCTCTGGGCTTTAGTTCTACGTCTATATAAGTAGAAAAGGTAAGGCAATTACTTTTGAGGTCATTACCAGAGCTAGCCTTCTTTGATTTTACTGTCTAGTATGTTTCTACACCTTCATCAGAAAGGCCAAAAAATCCATTCAGCCTAACAAGCAAGGTATAGAGAAGACAACACTGCAAAGTAACTCAAGAAAAGACCGTAGGGGAAAGGAGTTAGAACCTTACTATTCAAAGTGTTATCAGAGGACCGGCAGCACCTACATTAGCCGGCCCTTGTTAGAAATGCAAACTCAGGTCCCACCACTGAATCAACATTTGCAGTCTGAACAAGATGTCCAGGTGATTCATATGCACAATAAAGTTTAAGAAGTACTGATGAGACAATATCCTCAGCTGAGGCTCTTAATCCCTTTGCACGTGGACCAGAGCAGTATATATCCTCACGAGTTATATTTTCCTCGGGATTGCCCCCTTATCTCTCCACATATCCTTCTGCAGTCTCAAAATATAACCTCCACGAGGGTAGGGACCATGTTTACTCTTACACACTGATTATTCCCAGTGCTACCAGAATGTCTGGAATATTATAGGTACTCAATAAATATTTGTTCAAAGAATAAACAAAAAAGAAAATACAACCCCTACCTCCAATAATTTTATAATCTATTTAGAGAGAAGACAGAAACTGATGAAATATTACAATGTAACAACTATGTAACAATTCAAGTCAAGCTAGAAGAACTATCATAAAGCAGTATACGATTATTTACAAATAAAGGATTTAGACAATCAACGGTACTAGTGTTCAGAACAAAAAAACTAACTTTCTTCAGCATTAATAGTTTTTAGACTTAAGTGTTTTTGAATAGTTTCTAACAAGACCTTTAGGATATTTCATAAAGTCTTAAGAAAAATTCCTTCTGGTAATTATTAATATGTTTAAAACCCTATGAAAATAATTTTTCACCCATGATAGGGATACACAGGCTAATTCCCTATTTGGTAGGAGATACATCAACTCAGAATGTTTACACTGGTTATTTCAGGCTGCTCTAAAGCTTTGCCAATAATTTGTATCTGAATAATAAAAGAAAAATAAATGTATTATTTAATAATGTAGATCATTAGGTAGACATTTTGCAACTCAAGTCCATGGGCTTAAAAAAGTAGCAAGATGCATTTTTGGTGATGAAAAATGGAGAACTACAGTTACAGTGCATGCCAAGGCTCTGTCTCTGGAAGTTTAACAACTGGCTGAGACTAAACAAAACAATTTCAGAGTTGAAGGGACATTACAGACTACCTCACAGTTCAAATCCAGGTAAGATATAAAGAATACTATCCAAAGTCACTGAATTAGATGCAAAGATTATTCATATAAGGTCTTTTGATTCTTAATCCAATATTCTTTCCACTCATCAGAATACATGATCACCTTGTACAGCTCAATATAATTTACTAATATATAATTAAAATTCTTCCTTTCCAAGACCTGCTTAAGTCTTATATTACCAAGTACAAATTTAAAGAAATGTTTGGGGAAATATTTTATCATATAAAATAATTAAATGCAACCTCCCAACCATTACATAAATAACATCAATACTAATAAAGATATGCAGCTTTTACACCATTTAAAATTACTGTTAACATTATACTCCATAATGTTATTTTATTACTTAACAATTGAATACTGCAGCAGAGAAAAACATAAACTATGCAAATTTGGAGCCAGAAGAAACTTTAACTTTCAAATTTCTCATAGTATACATGAGAAACTGATGTCCAAAAGAGTTAAATACCTTGTTGAAGGTAGCTAGTTAATGGCAGAACCAGAACTTTACCACCTCTTTGCTGTAAATCACATTTAGAACCATTGTTATTTATTGTGAAACTTCTCTAATGATACCAAGTTCAGAATAAGCTACAGTATGAAACTGAGGCCAGGTATTTTAAGGAGCCTAATAAAATTATTTTTTATGCTTATAGGTCCTATATTACTGCGGTGAAGCAGGAGATCTTAAAGATCCACACAACCTAACCCTGTTTTCTTCCGTCCCCATTCACAATAGTCACCGCAATAGAATTAACAGGAAGAATGGGGCCATTTTTCTTTAGATCCTAGCAAAGTAGTCAATTTTGTTTAAACTTTGAGTTCAAAAATTAATATATGGATGTTATCATGGAAAAAGGATTAAAAAATACAAAAGTACCAGAGAAAACTCAAACATAATTCAGAACATTTTATGAGGAAACATATCTTGCGAAGTATTTAAAGAGGAGTGAGAGTAATCAGTAGATGGGCAAATGGAGGTTTTTGTTCATGGAAAAAGAAGATCAAAGAAATCAAAAGATCCTAAGAATAACAGGATAAATTAAGGAAGCAAATGGGAAAAGAGGATATAAACAAAAAGATTTCAGTGAAATCAGAGTAGTCAATCCTTGAAAATATTGCTTATTTACAAAATTTGGAAAACATGAAAAAGAAGAATAAAAAAGAAGTCATCCATAGTTATTTGGAACACTTATTTCCTGTTGTTTTTTTCTGTGCATTTGTGCTTCTTTTAGATAGCTGTGGTTATGTTATGTGCTCACTTTTTTAAGCTTAGCATTGTAGCAAAGATTTTCTTTTTTACTACGCATTTTTGTAGTATTTTTAATGGCTATATAATATCCCATCAAGTAGTATGTCATAGTTTAATTAACCATTGGATACTCAGATTGCTTTCAATCTTTTTTTTTTAAATGCTACAATAACCCCACCCCCCATCCCAAAAAAACAAACAACGTAGTCATCGAGTTGATTCCGACTCATAGTGGCCCTACAGGACGGAGTAGAACTGCTGACCTTTTGGATAGCAGCCAAACGACTGACCACTGCACCACAAGCACGGTAAATCTTTTATGGGTCAGTTTTCTTAAAACTTATTTTTGATTCTTCCCTTTGGATAAAGACCCAGAAGTCGAACTACTGGGTCAAAGGATATGAGATTTTAAAGCTTTTAAATCAAACTGCTAGACTGCTCTCTAAAAAGGGTGTACTAGTTGAAACTTTGATTAACCTGGTTCATGACTGCCTATTTTATTACCCTCTCACAGTCATTTAAAAACCCTGTGCTAATCTGATATTAGCAATCCAGTTAATACTGACAGGCAAAATGTACCTAATTTTATTTTATTTTTGGTTACCAGTAAAGATTTTTTTTCTTGTTAGTTTTTTAATCAGCTATTTTCCTCTTTTGTGAGGTGTCTGTTTTTAAATTAATCCCATTTCCAATCTGAAATATCTCAGCATTCAAGGTACTAATTCCAAAAGTAAACTAATTTAGAAGGCAACTTTAACATTTCATCATATACATATAGTCCTACCCATTAAAAACTCACTGTCATCGAGCCGATTCGGACTCAATAGCGACCCTATGGGACAGAATAAAACTGTCCCATAGGGTTTCCAAGGCTGTTCATCTTTACGGAAGCAGACTGTCACATCTGTCTCCCAAAGAGCAGCTAGTGGCTTTGAACCACCAACCTTCTGGTTAGCAGCTGAGAGCTTAACCACTGTACCACCAGGGCTTCTTCATATAGTCCTAGCTGCTATTCATCTTTTATATATTTTCATTTTACAGTGACAGAAAAATAAAACCAAAATTTGCCACTTATTCAGGAATTACTTTTTTTCTAGTGTAGCATACTGAATATTCAAGCCCTATAATATTTAACCCTTTAACAGTTTTGTACCCTCTTGGAGGTAGCCATATATTAAAGTTCAAATATAGTCTCAGACTTGTGGAATTAGCCATATAAAAGCTAATTCCAATTACTCACTGAATTTCTACCATTTCAAACATGACTTCTTTTTTTCAAATTTGTTCCAAAAATGTATCAAGCTATAATATCATATTCTGTTGTAAAAATATTTAATTTGATAGCCAAGCCATCAACAAATGTTACAAGTAAATACACCACAACTGTATTTTATTTAGTTGCTTGGGAGCATATACACAAATTAATTAGGTCCTTACCTTTCTCAGCTTTTCTGGGGAAAATTCTAGGCCAACAAGAAAAAGAGTAAAGAACACACCAAATTCTCCTAATGTCTCCACTTGTACAATAGACTGAAAAAAAAAAAAAAATTAAAATCATATAATTTCACGTTTAACATGTTAAATGTACTTAATGGAACGATCATGCACTAGTATACTCAGTAGGGTCATTTCAATATTAAAGCAGTGTTTAAGAAATAAATTCTTTGTATTTCTTCTACATCCAAAATAATTTTCCCCACCTAAATGCAATGTTTTCTTTTTTTTTCCTTTATTCTTGATTAGCTACAGGAATATATAGTTTCTCTCCTAAGAGCCAACTTATGGATTCAACTATTTTCATATTCATTAACTGCTGTTTTTACCTTCATTCTTCAGCTTTCTTGTGGGAGGGGGGTGAGGTGGAATTAAATCTAATGTTTGAGTTTAATACTTAACTAATTTATCGTGTTTTATTCTTGTTTAGTGTCAAGCATGTTTGGAGTATATAAATTTTCTCATGAGCACTGTATGGCCACATTCCATAGGCTTTAATGTATAGTGTCCTCATGTTCTATATTTGTTTTGTTTCATTTTTTACTTATTTCTAATGCTATTACACTATACTAGAGAATGCTATTTATACTACTTATGTTCTATATTATTTTATACTATTTACATTTAAAGTCTCACTGTGACTACTAAATCTTCAATTTTTAAACATAGTTCAATGAGCATTTGACAAAATAGTACAGACTTTTTTCTCATATATTCATATATTATCCTGATCCCACTATAAGTTATTTTGTCAGCTATTAATATTACGAATTCTGCCCTCTTTTTATTTGCATCTTCCCTCTTGAATTTTGTCTACCCCAAAAAACATATCTCAGTGCCTGTGAATATGATCTAATTTGGAAATACAGTCTTTGCAGATGTAATCAAGGTCATACTGGATTAGGGTAAGACAAAAATCCAATGACTGGTGTCTTTATAAGAGAAAGGAGAGGGAGATTTGGATACAGAGACAGAGGAGACACAGGAAGGTCATGTAACGACAAAGGCAGAGATTGGAGTGATGCACTGATAAGCCAAGGAACATCAAGAATTGCTAGCAACCACCAAAAACTAGGAAAGAGGCATGGAACAGTTTCTCCCTCAGACCCTCTAGAAGGAACCAATTATGCTGATACCTTGATTTTGGACTTCTGGCCTCCAGAACTGTGAGAGAATAAATTTCTACTGTTTTAAGCCACCCAGTTTGGCAATCTGTTACGCAGACTTAGGAAATGCATCTCCATTCACTATCAACCTTTCTTGGTCACTTTCATGAGTCTCTTGCTTATAGAACTTTGTGGGTTTTTTTTTTTTTTCCTGACACCATCTGCAAGTTGGTATCTTTTAATAGGGGAGTTTATTCCATGTATTTGTTATAACAGATGTTTGACTTTATTCCTTTTATTTTATGTTTTCTGGTTTTTATGCTTCTTGTGCTGCTACTTTTATTTTTCTTCCTTTTTGTTAACAGGTTGTGATTTATGACTTTAAAATAATACACCTAAACCTGTATTTCTCAACCTAAAAAATGCAAGCCTATCAATTTCCTACTAGGAAAAGACAGACATTTTGATACAATTACACTTCTTCCATTAACCACGTCCCATTTTTATTTAGTATGGTCTTGGATTTTTATCTTAATCTATTATAATTACATTATTTTTCCATTGTATACTGGAATTATTAAGAATTATACTATTTACAATATTCAGGAAAGAAAGAAAAGACCAAAATGGATGTCAGAAGAGACTCTGAAACTTGCTCTTGAATGTAGAGTTGCTAAAGCAAATGGAGGAAATGATGAAGTAAAAGAGCTGAAGATTTCAAAGGGTGGCTCGAGAAGACAAAGTAAAGTATTACAATGAAATATGCAAAGACCTGGAGTTAGAAAACCAAAAGGGAAGGACACCCTCAGCATTTCTCAAGCTGAAAGAACTGAAGAAAAAACTCAAGCCTTGAGTTGCAATACTGAAGAATTCTATTAGCAATATATTGAATGATGCAGGAAGCATCAAAAGAAGACAAAAGGAATACACAGAGTCACTGTACCAAAAAGAATTGGTCAATGTTCGACCATTTCAGGAGGTAGCATACGATCAAGAACCAATGGTACTGAAGGAAGAAGTCCAAGGTGCACTGAAGGCACTGGCAAAAAAACAAGGCTCCAGGAACTGACAAAATACCAACTGAGATGTTTCAACAAACAGATGCAAAGCTGGAAGTGCTCACTTGTCTATGCCAAGACATTTGGAAGACAGCTACCTGGCCAACTGGAAGACATCCATATTTCTGCCCATTCTAAAGAAAGCTGATTCAGACAAATGTGGAAATTATCAAACAATATCATTAATATCACACCCAAGTAAAATTGTGTATTACAGCAGTGCATCAACAGGGACTCATAAAAAAAAGCCCATTGCCGTATAGTCGATTCCGACTCATAGGAACCCGATAGGACAGAGTATAACTGCCCCACAGGGTCTCCAAGTAGTGCCCGGTGGATTCAAACTGCCAACCTTTTGGTTAGCAGCCATAGCTCTTAACAACTACGCCACCAGGGTTTCCATTGACGGGGAACTGCCAGAAATTCAAGCCGGATTCAGAAGAGGACATGGAACCAGGGATATCACTGCTAGTGTCAGGTGGATTTTGGCTGAAAGCAGAGAATACTAGAAAGATGTTTACCTGTGTTTTACTGACTATGCAAAGGCATTCGAGAGTGTAGATCATAACGAATTATGGATAACATTGAGAAGAACAGGAATTCCAGAACACTTAATTGTCCTCTTGAGGAACCTGTACATAGACCAAGAGGTGGTCCTTCAAACAGCACAAGGGGAAACTGCCTCATTTAAAGTCAGGAAAGGTGTGCATCAGGGTTGTATCCTTTTACCATACTTATTCAATCTGTATGCCAAGCAAATAATCTCAGAACCTGGACTATATGAAGAAGAATGTGGCATCAGGATTGGAGGAAGGCTCATTAACAATCTGTGATATGCAGATGACACAATCTTACTTGCTGAAAGCGAAGAGGACCTGAAGCACTTACTGATGAAGATCAGACTACAGCCTTCAGTATGGATTGTACCTCAACATTAAGAAAACAAAAATCCTCACAACTGGACCAATAACAAACATCTTGATAAATGGAGAAAATACTGAAGTTGTCAAGGATTTCATTTTACTTGGACCCATAATCAACGCCCATGGAAGCAGCAGGCACGAAATCAAATGACGTATTGCATTGGGCAAATCTGCTGCAAAAGACCTCCTTAAAGTGTTAAAAAGCATAGATGTCACCTTGAGGATAAAGGTGTGCCTGACCCAAGCCATGGTATTTTCAATTGCATCCTGTGCATAACAAAAGCTGGACGATGAAAAAGGAAGGCCGAAGAACTGATGCCTTTGAATTATGGTATTGGCGAAGAATATTGAATATACCATGGACTGTCAAAAGAATGAACAAATCTGTCTTGGAAGTAGTATAGCCAGAATGCTCCTTAGAAGCGAAGATGGCAAGACTTTGTCTCACGTACTTTGGACGTGTTATCAGGAGGGACCAGTCCCTGGAGAAGGACATCATGTTTGGTAAAGCAGAGGGTCAATGAAAAGAGGAAGACCCTCAACGAGATGGACTGACAAGGTGGTTGCTACAATGAGCTCAAGCATGGCAATAATTGTGAGGATGGTGCAGGACCGGGAAGCGTTTAGTTCTATGGTGCATAGGATTGCTATGAGATGGAACAGACTCAAAGGCAGCTAACGACAACACAATATTCAGTTATATAAGTTGCCCAGTTATTTAGCCTTAATTTTTTGCTAATAAGCTATTTTTGCTGTTGAAAGAAAGAAAAAAAAGGAGGAAATAGAGAAATACACTTGTATTTCCTTTTATTTGTAAATACTCTAGAAGGGGGTGGGGTAGGACAAGAGTGGGAGAGACTTTTCATGGTATAGTTTTTTTATATTGTTTTAGATCGTGTAGTTAGTACTTATTCAAAAATCAAAAAATTATTTTGCTAAGAGGACACTCTGCCAAGTTGACCCCAGTCCCATGAGTGTACCCTAGACACTGGTTTGCTGTTCTACTTCAGGTTGAATTAACTATTAACCGGAAGTTCTTAAAGGAGCCCTGGTGGTGCAATGGTTAAAGCGCTCAGCTGCTAACAGAAAGGTTGGTAGTTCAAACCCAGAAGCCGCTCCTTGTGAGAGAGATGTGGCAGTCTGCTTCCGTAAAGATTTCAGCCTTGGAAACCCTATCGGGCAGTTCTACTCTGTCCTATAGGGTCACTATGAGTCGGATAGCAATGGATTTGGGGGAAGTTCTTAAGGCACTGGGCTTTTAGCCTGGAGCAGCTGAGCAGAACTTCTCTTTATCTAGCCAGTCCTAATTGTTAAGATTAATTTTAATTGACTTCTTCAGATCAACTTGTTGTTCTTCAGTCTGGGGAGAACTTAGAGATTCTTCTGACCTGGTTCAAGGTTTGTTAATTAGGACTAAATGGAATGAGGCTTCAAGTGGCGCATCCTGAATCTTTTCCCCGTTTGCCCACCCGTTATACCCAACTGGGGAGCATCAGGGAGGTTTCTGAGGATTCTGTTAGCTTGTTTCCACCATCCTGTACTGTTCCCTCTGTGTGGCACTCATTAATTCTTGGCAGCCTTTTTCCATTCTGTTCAAATTGTGTGCATTTTAGATGATATATTTTCAAGATCGCAAGAGCTTCAGACCCTTACTTAATTTCAAAAAGTGCCATCCAGATATAATGAAGCTCAATTTCATCTGTTCAGAAAATGCCCTCCAGCAAACACAGCTGTCATGCTCCACTGTCTCTCTGGGCTCTCACAATATACTAAATTCTGGGTGCGTTTAATTCCTCACTACCTTGTCAGCTCTTCAGTGTGTTAAAAATTTAAAAGAACAAAAATTTTACCCAGCATTTTCGGTTGCTTTCTATGTGTGAAGATTGGTCTGAATAATCTTATCCATCATATTCATGGAAACAGAATATTTAAAACTAGTATAATTTAAAGAAACAGGGTTATTTTCTCTAGTCAAGTCACCCATTCATGAACAAAACAAAATGACTTTCTTATGGTTTAAAGAAGATTTCCATGAAATTTTAAAGGGCATCTTTAACATGGTTCAAAGAAACTGATATCTTTATTAATTCAAGTTCAAAACTTTTTACTCTTCATGAATGTTTCTTTAATATTCTATTCAATAGAGAGATAAAAAACAATTAAATTTTATTTCTTACCTTAATACTGTTTAGTCCTGATGGTCCAAGAAGTACACCACAAATAATATAACCAAACATTGTAGGCAATCCTATTGTTGTGCATAACCAGCCACAAGGTAAAGACAACATTCCTATGGTAACAATGTCCTAATGTAAGAATAAAATAAATAAGATAAACAAAAAATTTAAAATAATAGTTGGCTCTACTCCATGCAAGAAAAGGGTGAGTTGACTGAATAAGTTGGACAGGATAGCATCCTTAGTTCTTTTAATGAGAATGAAGGGTAAATGATGAAACTAAGGAGTTTTCGTACTACTGTGTGTCTCTGAAAAGTTGAAAGCATTAAGAACATATTCTGAGAGTAAACGAACTTAGTTCCTGATAGTCTAACAATTATAGTAAAATTTGTCTCTTTTGTTTATGCCCATAATAGTGTTCTAAGAAGTCTGAATATCAGAATTCCATTGATTTATCTAGTCTGGGACACCTTCATAGTTGATGTCCTAAGTATGACTTGTGTTCATTCACTGTTGGTTTTCTTATCCCACAAAGTCAATATAACCATCAAAGTCATAACTGATGCAGGTAAGAATCATCAGTGGGTTCTAAAACTATTGGGTGGAAGTTTGATGAGGAACAAGATATTTATATAGTCTCAAATATTTTCCCCAGAAATTATTAATTACAAGGAGAATAAAGAATAACTTTACAGTGGAGACTCCCCTCTTCACTGAGGGCACTAACTAATGTCTTGAATCTGCAGACTTGGCCCCTCCCAGTTCTCATGCCAATCATAATCAAGAAGGTAATATATTTGTTGACTTTTATCTATTGATTCAATTCTATCAATATATGTTTAATATCCGGTATGAGCCCCTGGGTGTCATTTACTGAGCTTACTGAAACTGCAGTCTTCCTCCCAAACTGTCTATGTTAGTACTATCTTTAAGACTAGGTTCTTTGCCTTAGTTTCTTTACCTGTTCAAGGTTCCAATATTGGGGAGTTGAGCCCTAGCCCATTTCAGTGGAGATCTGACAATTTATCTAGATCTTGTCAGCCTTCCCTGAGGAATCTGCACCCTGTTGTTCCTATATCTGCTACTCACTGCAGTCCAAATCCAAACAAAGTAATCATCCTCAACCATAACAGTATCAACTTCAAGTGTTCTAAATAATTCCATATTCTTTTACCAGGCTGGTTTCCTCAGAAGGAACAGAATCTGAATCAATAGGACTGCCAGTCTCTGCTGGAGGAGACAGTTTTCAGACTCTGCATTCTATGTCTAAATAAAGATATATGATGGCTTGGTCAAAACTTTTCTGCCTTATAAGAATTTTATATTTTAGTGAAAATAGTTTTTAGATAAGTGTGTTTTAATCCCACCACAGTAACTCCTAATTTCACGAAGTCTTGTAAATTTCAAAAACAAAATTAATTTTCATTTTTAATATTAAAATGCCTTTTTTCTCTAGCATTTTAATATTTAAAATGAAAATTAGTTTTTTTTCTAAAAAAAAAAACAGGAGAGGATGTCTCAAATCACAAAAAAGTAGGGAATTCTAGTAGAGTCTCTCTGTTTAGAGGAAGGTTGTTCAGAAAATAAAGCTCAATCTTACTTGATGTATCCCTTTACTTAAGTGGGGAGGGGAGGGAATTAAGCCCAGCACACAACTACGAGAAGAGGCTGAAAACACAGACTACCTTTATGAAGTGATGATCTGCACGTGGGATTGTTGAATCTCTGGGCTTGGTCAAAATATACTGGTTATTTTGGGAGTCAATTAGCATACTAAGACCTAAATCATCTTCCACTTCTCGTTTTGTTATGTTTTTCTTGGAATTGGCCTCTTCTTCTTCCACTCTGAGAACTGCCTCAAAATTTACTCCTTTTACCTGCAAGAATATATCAATGTTATGTAATTAAAATCAGTGAAATGTTTTCAAATTCATTTTTAAGAAAGTAAATTCTATACAGAAGAATGATGGGTTTTTATTATTCGTCAAATATAACTAAAGATTAATAAATGTTCATTAGCATGAATTAGGAAATTTTTTTTAATTAAAAAGTTATTTAAGGATGGAAATGTTTAGCATTTCTACTACTCACAAACATCTACTTTACCTGATTTAGGGTATATTCTTTTGAAAGTTCATGGCCCTTAAGATATTTATGCATTCTCTCCTCATCTCATAATCAGTAAATTTTTAAAACACTCCATTCTTTTCACTTTATTTTTAGTCTCCCCCTTTCCTTCTCTCATCTTATTCTGACTTGCTTTCATTATCTAACCCTTATATGAGTCCATACTGATAGTATGGTCAATTTTCAGTAAAATCTCAATTTTTTCCTTAGAATCTCGAACATTTTATAACAAGTAGCCTGAAATCCTGCTTCAGAGATGAAGATCACTTCCTATAAAGAGCTTATTTTTCCCAGGTAGATCAGCATTAAAACTCGACTGTCCAGTGCAAATTTTCTTGAGACCACAATCATAATTCAGCTGAGTGGCAAAACTGGAGAATGGAGACTAGTCACTGATAAGAGGGAACTGACTATAATTAAAAAATATGAAGAGAAAATAAAGGATAACTAGTTTATTTCTGGATAGCTCAGCTGCTAACCAAAAGGTCGGAGGCTCCTAGTCTACCAGAGGTGCCTTGAAAGAAAGCCCGGGTAGTCTACTTCTGAATAATCAGCCACTGAAAACTCTAAGGAGCACAGTTCTACTCTGACACATATGGGGTAGCCATGAGTCCAAATCAACTCAATGCCAGCTGGTTTTTTAAAGTTTATTTCTGCAAGATGAAATCAAATTATTTTCTCTCTGACACAAAAGTATTTTAGTTTGTCTTCATGTTTTCAATATACAATAAAAATAAACATGCAAAACAATTTCAACAATACATCCTTTCAGTGAGTAAGAAGCTCAATATGTGAACTGGAAATTGTTCTGAAGTACTACTTACTGATTTATTGTCATCAAAAGCATGTTCTTCTATCTCCTCCTCTAAACGATCTGCTGCCTTTCTTACATCTTCAAGAATTTCATCAAGGATGGATAAACTTTTGTTTTGATGTTGCATATTTTTAAGGGCTTCAACCTGATGTTTTTCTGCTGCCAGAAGTTCCACATATTCTGTCTCTTCCTACTCATTTGTAAAGAATGAAAAGTGAGATTTATTAAGAAATAAACCAAGATATGACTTTTTAGAATCAGTTCAGGTACCTGGCCTGAATGAATCAAATCAACTCATTCTCTATGTCCAATACTCCTTTTCATATATGTAATCCTAACTCTAGTCGACTAGGGAAGATCAAGTTTCCTAGATTACTCAGACGTAACTGAACCAACAAAATGTTAAGGGAAATTTTGTATATACACATCAAAAAATACAATATTTCTACTTTCATAAATAAAAATGATCATTTTTGAAGGTCATCTATTCATATAAAAATGATTTAGTGAACACTGATTGTGCTCCAGGTACTGTGCTTACTATGTATGTGAAGTATACTTGTCCTCTAAAAATAGCTGTGATGCTTGAATATGTTGCTAGTATCTACAGATTTATAAGCAGGATATACATATCAAATCCCAAGTTACAAACAGAAAATTGTTCCAGAAATAAACAATTATTTGGGAAACTGACAGATGGGGCTGGCAATATAATTTAATAAATATTATTTTTATACAATTGTATTTAAACTCCAATATCTTAAATTATTAACCCTACTTTAAAAATACTTATTCACACTTAAAGGGGTACTTAGACTGGACAGAGAAGTGAAAGGACAGTACCCAGAAACCAACACTGCCTATTTAATGGATCTCTAGTGATAACATCAGCCAGGGTACCAATCAACATCATCTTAATGACCTTTAACACACAGCTATATGTTGCCAATGCCTGGAGTTATGAGGCAAGAAATACTGCAAGATGAAATGCTGTTCATATTTTATAAAACATGTATATTTAAATCAGTGCTACTCAAACTCATGCAAACAGTGTTCTCTATTTTATAGTGACACCTAAAAACAAATCTGGATCCTACTAGGTACCCTATTTACAATGGAGGAGTTTAACGTCTTAACTGCCAAAAAGATCTCGTAAGATAGTAATATCTATTCATAGGATAGTGTTATGGTCTATTTCTAATGCAGGATAGCAATTACAGGGATTCACACACATAAAATAAGCAAGATGACTGAATCAAGGCTATTGGAAATCTTATCGCCTCCATTGGCTGATTACCATATTTCTACCAAAAAATGCCATACTTCAGTAAAGAAAGTTTAGTAAGTCTACATTTCTATACTTTTTAAGCTAGATAATAATATTATAGACTTTTCTATTAGGATGAAATAACATTTCACATATTTAAAGTGCTTGGCACGATACCTAGCACATAATAGGTACTCAAGAAATCAAAGCTTAAAAAAATTAATATAAATGATACATCTAATTCAGTAAGTTTCTTCTCATCATTTTATAAGTACACTTGGTCTGAATCCTTAAATCAAATGCATGTATCTGTGGAAAACTGAATTTTAACATTTTTGTTTTCAGTATATGGACTATGAAGAATGTCAAATTTCACAATAAGAGATATTTCTGTTGGAAACCCAACAAAATGTTGACCGCAGTTACAAATTTATTTTTTTTCCACATCAGCTTACTCGTATAACCTGAGTAACTTCTGAATTACCCAGGAATTTCCACAGTAGAGAAAAGCATTAGATATTGAATTCTTCTGTGAGCGATAAATACAACTACACTAAGAGATGCAAAAGGAAAAGATTCTCTTACTTGCGAGAGCCTATATATATTTTACTAAGAACAGATGCCTTGATAGATCACATCTACTGAAAGAGTAGCACGTTTTACTTTTTTCCTTTATCTCTATTTTCTAAATTCAGCACATAAAGCACTTTTTGCGTGTGTGAATGAATGTTTGCATTTGGTAAAACGTGAAAGAACTAACCTTTATTGCAGCTTCTCTCAGAGCCTCCAGCCGCTGCCTGCTACTTTCTTTCATGTTTACAACATCTTTATAATCTCCCTGCAGGGCTCGCTGGAGTCCATGGATAGCCTGAAAGACTGAGTTTTCACTTTCATTCAGCTCCTTTTGAAAAATCTCAAACGTGTGCACCTGAAACAATTTCTCTTCATCTGAGAGTCCAACGTCTTTTTCCACTGCTCTGATGGCATTTTTCAGTTTGTTAAGTACCACATTCTTTTGGCGAAGAAGCCCAGACAGCTTTCTACAGTTCTCAAGGACCCAATGTTTTCTCTGAGCGATAGCTGCTCCTTTTCCTCGATGTAACTTGATTGCATGCTTTGCTACCTCTTCATGTTCTGCAGCATTTGCTATCAAATGAAGTAATGAGAACAATATCCAGAGATTTGTTTTTCCTAATACCTTCATGATCCACGTATAGAGAACAAGGCAAGGCAGTCCAAAGATTCCTGCTATGCTGAAGTTGCATTTTAGAAACACATTTTCAGCTGGAAAACAGATTCATTGTCATACAAAGTTGAACGATGATTACTGTTGATATCAGAATTAAAGTATTCAATAATTACATCCAGACAACTACTACCTTTCTGAAGAAAATGTTACCTTTTCTAGCTCTGAATTACTTATTGCACCTAGATTAAAATCAAATACTGAATGTTAAAGTGTCTTTTATGGTACCTGGTAAAGAGTTGAGATAAAAGGTTAGTTACATCCAAATTTAAAGGCAATTTTTTTAAAGAAGAACTCAGCACCACATATCTACTAAATCTACTAAGTACAAAAGACTGCCGTGCCAAAACCAATTCTATTATTAAGAGGGTCCATACGGCTGCTAATCAAAAGGTCGGTAGTTTGAATCCACCAGCCACTCCTTGGAAACCCTATGGGGCAGTTCTACTCTGTCGTATAAGGTCGCTATGGGTCGGAATCGACTGTATGGCAACAGGTTGTTTGTTGTTCTTTATAAATCAATGGCAAGAAAATACCATAACCTTTTTCTCTCACCAGTTAGGAGAAAATACGCCACTAGGGATTGACACTCACTATCGTTCCAGAGGTGAAATCTTTTGAGCTACTATTAGCTTGCTTTTTTTTAATTGTTGTAATTAAATGAAGTTTACATCTCAAGTTAGTCTCCCATACAAATTTTTTTTTTTTTACATACATTGTTATGAGACCCCAACCGCTCACCCCATTCTGCGACAGCACACTCCTCCCCTCCAACCGATTCCCATGAACACTCAACCAGCTCCTAACTCTCTCTGCCTTTCCATCTCACCTCTGGACAGAAGCTACCCCTTTGGTCTCTTGTACCTACTTGACTAAGAGGCACATTCTTCAGGAGTATCACTTTATGTCCCACAGTCCAGTCCAATCCCTGTCTGAAGAATTGGCCTCAGAAATTGTTTTAGTTCTCGGGTAATAGAAAGTCCAGGGGCCATGCTTTCCAGGGCGCTTCCAGTCTCAGTCGGACCATTAAGTCTGGTCTTCTTACTAGAATTTGAGTTCTGTATCCCATCGTTCTACTGCTCCATCAGGGACCCTCTGTTGTGTTCCCTGTCGGGACGTTCATTGGTGGTAGCTGGGCACCATCTAGTTCTTCTGGTCTCAGGCTGATGAAGTCTCTGGTTTATGTGGCCCATTCTGTCTCTTGGGCCAATACATTACTTATGTCTTTGGTGTTCTTCGTTCTCCTTTATTCCAAGTGGTTGGGACCAATTGATGCACCTTAGATGGCCACTTGCAAGCTTTTAAGACCCCAGACGCCACTCACCAAAGTAGGATGTGGAACATTTTCTTAATAAGCTTTGTTATGCCAATTGACACAGATGTTCCCTGAAAGCATGGTCCCCAGACCCCGCATCCCTGCTACTCTGTCTCTCGAAGTATTTGATTGTATTGAGGAAACTTCTTAGCTTTGGTTTAGTCCAGTTGTGCTGGCTTCCCCTGTAGTGTGTGCTGACCTTCCCTTCACCTAAGATGATTTTTATCTATCTAGTTACTGAATAAACCTCACCCTCCCTCCCCACCTCCGTAACCATCAAAGAACGTTTTCTTCTGTGTTTAAACCTTTTCTTGAGTTCTTATACTAGTGGTCTTATACAGTATTTGTCCTTCTGTGACTGACTAAATTCACTCAGCACAATAAGTTCTAGCTTCCACCATGTTATACAATTTCACAGCTTCATCATTGTTCTTTATCATTGTGTAATATTCCATTGTGTGGCTATACCATAGTTTGTTTATCCATTCGTCCGTTGATGGGCACCTAGGTTGCTTCCATCTTTTTGCTATTGTGAACAGTGCCGAGCTACTATCAGCTTGCTTTACCATTTTGCTTTCCAAAATTATGCAGAATTTTGCCAAATTTTCAAATTCAGTTAAGTGCTAACAAGATGTCAAGGATGGGGGAAAAATCACAAAGATAAAACCACACATGGATCTCTAGGACTTTATTAAATGATCAAACATTTTCTATCCTCTAAATTCAGGCTCCTGGTCTTCCTTCCCTTAAAAAAAACAAAACACCAAACCCATTACTGTGAAGTTGATTCCGACTCACAGCAACTCTGCAGGGCAGAGTAGAACTGTCCCATAGGATTTCCAAGGTTGTAAATCCTTATGGAAGCAGACCACCATATCTTTCTTCTGCAGAGCAGGTGGTGGGTTTGAACTGCCGACCTTTCAGTTAGCAGCCAAGCACTTAACCACTGCGTCACCACAGCTTATTTCCTTTAACCCGTTGCTACTGAGTCAATTTCAACTCACAGCGACCCTACAGGACAGAGGAGAACTGCCCCCTAGGGTTTCCAAGGTGTGCCTGGTGGATTTGAACTGCTGACCTTTTGGTTAGCAGCCGTAGCTCTTAATCACTGCACCTAAAACAATATACATTAATTTATCCTGCCAAATGTAACATAGACAAGATCCTGCTTTCTGAAAATGGTTTCTTGATAAATGAAGAGGATTTTGACTGGAGATTAAGAGTTGAAAGACGTCGGTGCAGGTAGTGATGGAAGCTGTAGCCATGCTATACAGATTACCACGAACACAGGAGGGTAGGGATGGTTCCCCCAGAGAACAGCATTATGTAAGAAGGAGGCAGAAGTTGTCGCAAAGGTAACAAAAGAAAAGTGATCTTAGAAACAGGAAAACAGACTTAAGAAGGAAGAAGTAATAAATGCAAGAGAGGGCAAATAAGATAAGCTCTGAAAAATACCTATTATATTTGGCAATTAGGAGATCATTGGCCGTGACAATTATGCCAAAAAAGAAAATAAAAACCTATTATTTACACAGGATTAACATTTAAAAAAAATACAACAAAACATTAATACATACCATCTAATTAATATTCTTAATAGCAGCATCCAATGGATTGTCATGATATGTTCAGTTACCAAGAATTCCTACTTCACCCTTAAAAATGGTAATAGTTCTCCTACATATGGATCCCTTTACTAAAAAATATATCTATACTTTAATTTCACTGATAATTCCAATTCTAATAAGTTAAATAATCTGGTTTTTTAGACCAAAGTAGACTAGGTGCAGTACAAATAAGAAGAGACGTGGCATTTCCAGAGATAGTATTCTGATCAACCAAGAAATGACAGCTGACGTAAAGAGGAAGCAAAACAAAACTTATGAAAAGCAAACACAAGAACTCAAAATGCCTAGCAGCCTCTGCTATTTTGTGGAAGGCTAAACTGTTCTACATGCTATTTCAGTAGGTCCTGAAAATATCACTGGATAAAGACTGATGTTCAGAATGACAAACAAAAGCAACCAAAAAAAAAAAAAAAAGACTATATTCTGCTCAGTTTTCTGGTTAAAAAATCATGAAAGTGTTCAATTTCAATACATTTTTAGATACTCTGGCCTCTGCAGGGATAGCTCCTGTACACAGAGAATTCACTTACGTAGAACAGAACAGTTCACTCGCTAACAAGGTAGGGTAAATAATGTACTGTTTGAATTACTCAACTTTATAACCGTTTCAATTATAATTTTAAGTACACGTCACCACCTTAAAAATAAATAACTAACGAAACATTTAGTAATAACTAGCAATACAGCTGATCTGTTATTCTAATGACTCATTCAATTGCTAACCTATTTTTCCAAGAAAGAGAAAATTTAATTGCAACTGCAGAAGTATATACTTCTAATATTTTCCAGAACCAAGACAGAAATTTGAGATGCTTTGTTTATGCTTCCCGTTCCCCCCAAAAGATCTCAAAAAATAGCTTTTTCATGGATTTCATGCTTCAGAAAAATAACTTGCAACCTAGCTTGTGCGTGAACAACACCTCTCTACATTCATTTCTGAATCCAGGTTCCTGAAATTAAACAGTTATCCCTCTATTCCATAGCATATAAGGGAGCTATTAATTTTTATGAGAAATCTTTGAGGACTTTAATTGTAGTTATACTAATATTTTTTCCACTAAAATACAGTACTTATAACATGAACAAGAAACGGAAATTTTCTTTATAGATTCTTAAAATATGAATCACCCCTTTTTCATAAACTATGTTCATTTCATTTTACCTTCAAACCTGGCCACAAAATACTACGGAATATTCAGATTGTAGCATGATTTTTTCCTAAGTAAATCAGTAAATATTTCTAGCCTCAGTGTTACTTTGTTACTGCTGTCTTTGATTATTAAAACAATTCTCTGGATTTGTTACGTTTATTGTAATTAATTCTTAAAATTTCTATATATTGAACTATTGATATACACAACAACTCGCATGGATTTCAAGGTAATTACACTGAGTGAAAAGCAAATTTTAAAAGGTTAAAGACTGCATGATTCCATTTATATAATAGTCTTGAAATGACAATCATAAAGATGGAGAAGAGATTAGTAGTTGCCAGGGATTAGTGGATAGGGGCAGGAAAGGAGGTGGTTGTGGCTATAAAAGGGTAGCTAGAGGGATCCTTGTGGTGATGGAACTTGTCTGTATCCAGACTGTGGTGGTGGTCACACAAATCTACTCATGTGATAAAACTAGACAGATCAACACACACACACACAAAATGAGTGCATGTAAAACTGGTAAAATCTGAATATGCTTGTTAGATGGTGTCAATGTCAATTATCTGGTTGTGATATTGTACTTACAGTTTTGCAAGATATTACCATCGGGGAAACTGGGTGAAGAGTATTTGGGATCTCTCTGTATTATTTCTTAGAACTGCATCTGAAATCTACAATCATCTCAAAATAAAAAGTTCTAAAAAATTCTATATAAATGCTTACTGTTTATCACTATAACCTTATTACATTTAGTGATCACCATTTGCTTTGCAGAGTCACAGAGACTATACCCATGACATTTTAAAATATTTTAAATGAAGAAACACTCTAAAATAGAGCCACAGATGTTCAGGGTGCCTCAGCTAGAGTAAAACCCAAGGTTACTTTTCATTAGGACAACAGTACCATCAATACTTTGAGCACACCCAAAACATACATGTTCCCAACTTTGTCAAATTTCAATGGGTTTTGCTTGTTTTTATAAATAAAGAACAGGAATCCCAAAAATTACTTTAACACTGATAAGATTATTTGGTTAAGACAAAAAATATTCATAACAAATGCCATAAATGATTTAGAATAAAAAGGTAAACAGGTTCACCATTAAGCTTACTCAAACTAATACTTTTAATTCACTGTCATTTTACATAAAAATCTCATTACTCTTAATTCTATTAATTCAGAATCTTAGTAATTCAGAAATGTCACGTACCATTTATTAGATAAAAAGCTCAGTAGCAAAGCATAACAATGTATTCTAAGATCAGGCTTTTTCAAAGCACAGCCACCAAGGTCAAAGATTTCTTTGATATACTTCTAACTCATGATCATGACTGTAGGGTATTTGAAGAGAAGTATCTCCTTAGACAGCCCTGGTGGTGCAATGGTTAAGTGCTTTGCTGCTAACTGAAAGGTCAGCAGTTCTAACCCACCAGCTGCTCCACGGTGGAGCATAAACACCTCGACTATGAGTAGGAATCCACTTGACTGGCATTAGGTTTTGGATCTCCTTAGGGGTTATGCTAGTCTGACTCACATAGCCTTAAGGCTCTATAAGGCTGTACTGAGTCTGCTAGGGGA